TGAACCGATGATCCATTTACTAATACTCCAGATTGTGGGCAAGGAAGAAAAGTCTCCGTTTGTGCAACACTGGGGTTGCTGCTTCTGTTGGAAATTATCTTTGTCCATAAGATCACTCAGTATCTAATCAGAAAATACATAGCAAATATTTTCCACATCAAAGCATGTGGGTTAATGCTGCAAAGAGACAGGGCACACCATGATTAATAAAGCCCTAGCTCTATGTGGGACAAGAAGCTACAGTTAGAACTGGATATGGAACAACTGATTGGTTCAAAATTGGGAAAGGAGTAAGACCAGGCTTACTCTGCTTATTAACTTATATGCAGAATTCATCATGCGAAAGGCTGGACTGGATGAATCCCAAGCCAGAATAAAAATTGCCGGAAAAAACATCAACAACCTCAGATATGCAGATGACAAAACTTTGATGGCAGAAAGTGAGGAGGAATTAAAGAACCTCTTAATGAGGGTGAAAAAGGAGAACGCAAAATATGGTCTGAAGCTCAACATCAAAAAAATGAAGATCATGGCCACTGGTCCAATCACCTCCTGGCAAATAGAAGGGGAAGAAATGGAGGCAGTGAGATATTTTACTTTCTTGGGCTCTATGATCACTGCAGATGGTGACAGCAGTCATGAAATTAAAAGACGCCTGCTTCTTGGGAGAAAAGCAATGACAAACCTAGACAGCATCTTAAAAAGCAGAGACATCACCTTGCCAACAAAGGTCCATATAGTTAAAGCTATGGTTTTCCCAGTAGTGATGTATGGAAGTGAGAGCTGGACCACAAAGAAGGCTGATCGCCGAAGAATTGATGCTTTTGAATTATGGTGCTGGAGGAGACTCTTGAGAGTCCCATGGACTGCAAGAAGATCAAACCTATCCATTCTGAAGGAAATCAGCCCTGAGTGCTCACTGGAAGGACGGATCCTGAAGCTGAGACTCCAATACTTTGGGCACCTCAGGAGAAGAGAAGACTCCCTGATGCTGAGAAAGATTGAGGGCACAAGGAGAAGGAGACGATAGAGGACGAGATGGTTGGACAGTGTTCTTGAAGCTACCAGCATGAGCTTGACCAAACTCTTCGAGGCAGTGGAAAACAGGAGTGCCTGGTGTGCTCTGGCCCATGGGGTCATGAAGAGTCGAACACGACTAAACAACTAAACAACAAAGCTTGCAAACAAACTGAAGGGGGCAGGAGTGTATCTGGAAAAGGGCACCTGGCACATAGGGAGCAAATGGGCAGTTCTGCAGGAAACACAGAACAAAAATAGCAAAGTGAGAGCAGTTTGGCTTAAGCCTGTTTACAGCTTAGAACTTGTAATTTTTGTATGATCAAAGAGTCAGCAGACTGCTTCAGCAAGAGTAGGGAGCCCAATCTGGGCAGTGTGCTAGATCTCTTAATTCCCCCACCCTTCACAAGCCAGCTTTGCAAGGTAAGGAGGAACACCTATCTGTCAATCACATGGCATCTTAATGACATCAGGGGCCTAGGATAGGGTTACCCGATGTCCCCAGTTCCCTGGGACGGTCCCCGGATTTGCAAATCTGTCCCCAGACAAATTCCGTTCCTGGAATGTCCCCAGATTTCATTAAATGTCCTTGGGAAACATGGCAGCGGCAGACTCAGCAGTCTGGAGCCAGCCTGGTAGCACAGTTGGCTCTGGCTGGCTTCAGGAGCTGCTCGCTGTCATGGCGCCTGCCATTTTTCCTCACCAGAATTCCCCATATGATGTGTCTTGTGCGCAACACATCATATGGGGACTTCCGGAGAGGAAAAATGGTGGGCGCCACAGCAGTGGGCAGCGAGCAGCTCCTGAAGCCAGCCAGAGCCAACTGCGCTACCAGGCTGGCTCCAGGTTGCTAACGGCTGCTGCCACTGCCAAAGGGGAACTGGGGACGTCTGGCGGTACAGATCTCCTGCCCCCTTTGTTTTAACAGATTGGGGGAGGCTCAGGAGTTGCAGGCAGGCAGCTGTTGCCCAGTTTTTTAAAAAACTCTGTGCATTTATGTTTCACAGGGTGTGAAAGAAGGGTTTTGCAATACAATATGCATGTGTGCTTGGGCCTCACCATCCCCACTACTGACTCCCTGTTGCTACTCAGCTGCAAAAAAAGAAAAAAAGTGTCCCCGGATTCATTGAAAAAAAATCTGGTAACCATAGCCTAGGAGCCAACTCCTAGCAGCTGAGGGTCCTTTGCCACCCAAAAAAATATTTGAGGGGGCTGCCCCCCCCCAAGTTGATGAACAATTCAAAAGGTGTGTTTGTGTGCTGTGTCTTGTGATTGATTATGCAGGTCAGGCCTTACCTGCCCCTCCCATATTTTATTCAAATTGGCACCCCTGCCTGGAGGAGTAACTTCAAAGCAGCTTGCTCCATTTCAAAGCACTTCCCAAAATGGAGCACTCCATTTTAGGAAGCAGTTTGAACGCAAGCATCTTCAAAATGGAGCAAAAGAGCCCCCACAGCTGCATATTGGGGCTTCCTGTCAGGGAAAGGGAGCCCTGCTTGCACAGGAACAGGCAGGAGCTCACATTAAGTTCCCGCATGTCCATACCTGCTCCACACATGATGTGCTGTTGGCCTTGGGGCTGGTGGGTGTGGCTTGTAGGGAATGGCCTAGGCCCACGGTCTGGAGGCTCCCCAATGCCAAGGAACAGGCTAATAAATAAAAACATGATCCCGGAGTTTCATTGTTTGGTCTGCTTGTTGGTAGAGAGGGAGGAAGCAGATTGAATTGGCTGGCTTCAATCCCATCCACTGAACCACAGAACCCAGTGATGGACTACATTAAAAGCAGCAAACACAGCAATCCATCAGTTCTTGAGCCAACGTATCCCACATGGCTGCTGTAGTTACTGATACAAAGGTCAGGAATCGAGCTTCCCATTCTCTTATGTTTCTGTGTTTTAAGTATTTTTGTATAGTGCTGAACTTTAAGCATTTTCTGAATAAAAGATGATGGCTTCTATTCTTGACTGTGAGCCTGTGGGCATCTGCTGTTGTACAGCACTTTGTTACATTAGGTCCTTAATAATAATTTTTTTTGCCACAGCAGGACTCTTCAAGTTGACCTCAGTGTTTGCTTTAGGCAAATTCCATGGGCAACTCTACCTAGTGCTTATTAGCAAATCTCATGCTATTTTACTCTTGGGCCTTTCTTGAGTGTTGGATTTCTGTTTGCACAGAACAGCGTCACATCTCATGGTTTTAGTGATGCAAAGCAAGCAACTCATTTGACACTTAAACCAACTTTTGAAATACAGAGTGTGGAAATAAAAGACTGCCTTGTTTGTACTCAGGGCTGTCACCAGGCTCACACACAATGAGCATATTCTGCGCCAGAAATACCTTGACAGGTGTTAGCAGCTGGCTCTACAATTACAATTAACACAGTGCCTTTATTAGATTTGACATTGACATGTGTATTAATAAATCTTGGACTGGGGTAAGAAAATCACTCAGCTGTACTTTAAAGGTTTAATTACACATGTGCATGTTTGTGTGCAGTGTCTCCACACCCACATTCAATTTTCTCTGCCTAATGTCTTGTGTCACATTGGTGGTTTTTTTTTTCTTTTTAAAAAATAGCTGGTGTTTATTTATAATATATATTCCCCCTACTAGACTCAGTAAAACAAGATGGATTTACATTTCTTAAAACTGCTTAGCAGTGAGACACCCCCTCGAGAGATTTCACTAATCTTTTAGCATCTTTCAAAATTCCTACATGATTCTTGCCTGGCCAAGACTCTCCAAATTGTGTGTTGTTTATTTATTTATTTGCTCAATCAGTTGTTATTATTATTTAAAACATTTTCACCCAGTGTTTAGGAGAACTCCTTACAAGGCAACTTACAAAAATCACTCACGTCGCTGTAGCCAAAAGTCCATTCTACATCTAGGTTTCTTTCCAAAGGCTGCAGCTGTGTTCTAGGTAGGAGCCAGGGGTAACCAATGTGGTACCCTTCACATGTTGTAGAACTACCTGGTCATTTTAATCCTACTAATGGCTCCTGGTGATAAGGCTACCCTGGCTCCATACGGAAGGATACGACACAGACCTTTTCATGGCTCCCCTCCATCTCCCTACTGGGAATGGTAAGATATTCTAGGAGTGACATTTGACAAAATCTGTTCCCTTTTTTAGGAAAGGGTTCTGGAGACTTTAATGTCTGTTGAAATTAACAGTTTGTTGACATATACATAGGTTGAACAGACAGAAAAGAAGTAACAGACAGTTTCACCATTTAAGCCAGCCAAGTATCTTACAGGCTATTTCTGGGAGCCAGGAATATCAGAACTGTTAGATAGTGGGTAGACATAGCAGACGAAGCAGCGATTTCTCCAAAGCAGCTCTTTATTTGTAAGCTGGAACAGAACTGAACAGCAAACAGCTCAGCCGGCTTGCTTTTATAGGCAGCCGGCTATCAATATTGTAGCAACAATCCAGGGTTTCCACCCTAAGGTAACTGACGTGGACCTGAGTGAAAACTATCTACACGATACTCCTGGTGGCCAGGGTGAGAACTTCAATACATAACACCCCTCCCCACCGAGAAAAGGCATTAGTTACAATCATAGTGGTTCCATTACATACAGCAATACCCTTATTGGTTTCAGTAAGGCACATAAGCATATTAATTAACCCTATTCACCATACAGCTTTACATGTGCAGTTTGTCCAGTGAACATAGTCTCTTAAATAGGCTAGGCACTTGGAAACCCTGCTGGATAGCTGAGGGCCAGTACCAGAGTCCGGGTGGCCTTCCGATTATGGCTGCGACTGTGGTGCGACCAAATGTGGCATTGAGCCCGAGTTCCCTTGCGGATCTCAGCAGCTTCCGAGGACACGGCCTCCTCAATGGCTTTCTGCAGCGTGAGATCTGGCTTGGCGAGGAGACGCCGTTGCGGACGGATGTCCTGGACTCCGCAAACGATTTGATCCATCAGGGCATCGTCTAAGTCTCAGAACTCGCAGTGCATTGCAGCCTGTCAGAGGGCGGCGGTGTAGTTGTTGATTGACTCTCCCTCTGCCTGGTTCCGGTGGTAGAACGCATGGCGGGCAGCAATCTTGGACGGCTTAGGCACGTAGTGGTTGCAGAGCTTCTCTTGAATCGTGTCCCACGGCGCTGCCTGGACTGCTAAAGGCACAACCAATGCTCGGGCCGTCGCAAACACCTCAGGGCCACAAAGGCTGAGGAAGAGGCCCCGCTTCTGCTCTACAGACCCTCTTGTCAGCTCATTTGCTTGGAGGTAGCAGTCGAACCGAGCGAGGTAGCAGTCCCATGATTCAGAGGCTGGGGCAAATGGCAGTAGAGGCACGAGTGAAGCCATGGTTCCAATGCCGACATGGAAGCGATGGATGGAACACAGTGCTCTAGCCAGAACAGTCAGCTCTGAATTGGTTCCGCTCTGTGATTTCGCTCAGTGTTTCAGCTCTGTGATTCAGCTCAGCTCAGAGGGTGGCCGCGTATGGCTGTGTTCTGATGTCCATCGATCCCATCCTCGTCGCCAGTGTTAAATAGTGGGTAGACATAGCAGAAGACGCAGCGATTTCTCCAAAGCAGCTCTTTATTTGTAAGCTGGAACAGAACTGAACAGCAAACAGCTCAGCTGGCCTGCTTTTATAGGCAGCCGGCTGTCAACATTGTAGCAACAACAATTCAGGGTTTCCCGCCTAAAGTAACTGACGCGGACCTGAGTGAAAACTACATACACAATACTCCTGGTGGCCAGGGGGAGAACTTCAATACATAACAATAACAATTTTCTCCATCAAGTGCAAAACTCACTTTGACTCTTTTTCTCACTCTGCCTCCAACTAACCAAAACAGTAATGGTTTTGGTTTTATCTTTTAAATGTGTAATAATAGCATAAATTCATTAAAAAAACCGAAAACCTTTTAAGGCATAGCTTGTAGTGAATCATTTTGACCCCTAAATGTTTCCATTAATGATTTGTGGCTGTCAAAAATGTAAAACCTCTTGTAATTGGTAACTTAAGAGGTGCATCCTTACTTTTATAAAGTCACTCTGAATTTTGCTATTGATTTCTTCACCTCTTGGGCAAATAATGCACTTCGACTTAATGCTCCTGCTTAGAAACAGCTACACCTTAATGTTTGGGGTGGGCCTAGGGGGCTTGTTGTCCTGCTTTACAGAGAAGAACCCTGTTTGAAGGGCTGCCTGGTCCTACACAATCATTTCTAGCCTGCAAGCAGTAACTGTTAGCAGTAAACTGCCAGGTTACTGTGACTCGTGGCTCGTCTTGGGTTCCCTGTAAATGTAACCGGCCATCTCTCTTCCGAGGCTGAGTCAGTCTCAGCTCAGTATGTGAGTAGCAGACAGAGCGGCTCCAGGCTCCAGTTAATCAGAAACTAAGATCTGTGCCTCTCTGAAGACTAAGATAGCTGCTATGAGCACTCTGTGCATGCTCTTTAACTATGCTGTTTATGAACAAGTTTATTTTCTTCAAGTAAAAGTTTTATTCTGTTCATAAAGAAGACTGCATTGATTCATTTACCACTGTGTGAAACATGGCTCGCTGCATTCTGTGTCTGCTGTTTGGAGGTGAACCAGGACAGGGGCTCATCCACCCTTCCACTTGCCCTGAGTCTAGAAGCCGCAGGTCTGAGTGATTTCTCCCTTGTCCGGTGCTTGCTAGGCATGGGTCCAATTGGTTTTGCCTTTGCCCCACCACTTTCTCCTAGAAAATGCACTCTTTAGCACTAAATTGGGGTAAACGTCAATCCAGAAAAAACCTGATTGGCATTCAGCAGTAAAGAGCAGGTTTTCCTGGGGAGAAGTTGTGGGACAAGAGGAAGGATGCTTGAACCGTGTGTGTTGCACTGAGAGAGTATATGAGGAGCTACTTTAAAATGAAGGTTTTACTGGCCACAACAGCATGGCTGAAATAAATGTAGACTTCTCTTTGTGTTGGATTTGCTATCAACATGAATTTCAAAACAGTAGGAATAAAGGCTGTGTCTCATCCCATTTTGCATTTGGAAAAGCTCAGAAGAGTGGAACAACTCTACAGTCACACAGCAGATCCAGAAAAACATCAAAAGTCATCCTTTATTTGGTTCTCTCTCTCTGGCCCCCACTTTGTTCTAATCACAAAACCCCACTGCTTTTTGCTTGAGAGCTTGCTTAGCTCTTCGTCCTCATAAATGAAAAACATAAAGGCAAAAGTGAGCCAATATGTTCCTGAAAATAATGCCTTTTCCTTATCTTTTGCATCTGGAGTGTCAGTTACAGAGACACAAAAAGCTTTGAGAGTTAGATTTCTCCTCTCCTCCCCTCCCCCAAGGAAATTAAAATCTGCTGAGAATTGCTTTATCAAAAGATGTCTATCTAATAATTCCTTTAGCAATTCAACTACGGTAAAGTTACCTTGAGAGAGTATTATGAGGCTTTTTCTTTTTTAAAGCATAATGTTTCTCATTCATTGTCTGGAATGGATCTTGAATTCAAATTTGGTGTTATCATATTCAACATGCAAGTGGCCAAGGAAATCCATCACAGTCACATTTGACTTCAAAAGAGGAAAGCTCTAAAAAGTGAGGTGAAAAGGAAACTGGAAGGGAGAGTCCGTTTCTCCAGAAAACGTTAGGGTTATTCAAAACCATAATAATTGCATTCACAAATGATGAAATGGGAGTGAAGATTTTGGTGAATTTTCCATGCGTATCTGGCCATAGTGGAAAACAGGATGATGAATTAAACAGGTCTTTGGTTCTTCTTACATCCTTACCATCGGCATCATCAATTTGGCCTCCTGCCTTTCTAGAGTTAAATCAGCAAAGCAGGAGGCAGATCTTGCAGGACTCACAGGTAAAATTCTGTATGTGTGTGACATAGGACTTATCCGCACTTACGGTATCTTTCCTCTACTTTCCAGGCATAGTCCATGCTTTCAAGCTCCATGTCCAAGTGAGTGCTCTCTCTCTCTCTCTCCCCTGACAATTTCCCCATGAAAGCCCACTCTTTAAATCACTCTGGAATCAGAGCAAATGACAATATGCAGAAAACCTGAATTGCCATTTGTTGTGCTTCAGCATTAAGGAGTGGGATTTTGCGGGGAAAGTTCTGAGGCAAAAACAAAGTGTGCTTGGGCCTGGAGGTTTAAAAGCCTGGAAAGCGTGAGACAAAAGGTAAGTGTGGATAAGGCCATAGACTGCGGCAGCAGCTGAAGCCAGGCTGGGGACCCCAATGCAGACCCACCGATTTAGAGGTTTGAGCTGTGGAATCTGGATGCTGTTGCTCATGGAATCTTCTGCCTCGTTAGACAAGTGCTAAATACTAGGCTCCTAAGCTCCCTGCCCATACATTGATTAAATATAATATATTCCAGGACTTCACATGGGGTATATGCCTTTGTGCTTCTAGTGTTCCTGCATCCTTCTGGAAACTCCTCCCCCCTCAGCCCCCCCCTTCATGCCCAAACTAGGAACTTCCCACACGTATAGGACTGATTTAATATTGGATCTTGCAAAGTCAGAGCCTTCACACTTCTTGCCCACCACTGGGGCTGAAGATGAATATCCCTGCTGCTTTAGCTACATGAAAGAGACTCTGAACTGTGTGTGTTAGGTCAGGCCCCAACCACAGACTTCGAGGTTCCCAGCTGAAGCCTCTGTTGACTCAACAGTTACTGGTATACAAAATTAATGCAGTGTGTGTGTGTGTGGGGGGGGGGGTAATTAATGGTTCAAATTCTATAGCTGGCCTTTGTCTGCCTTTGTCAGATATATGTTGTCTTTTTTCCCCCTTCCTCCTTTTTCTTTTTTGCATAAACTTTGTAGATATTTTCTTCCCACAAAGCAACCCCGCTGAGGGAAATGGATATAAACACTTTGAATGTCAAATTCATTTCATTACAAAAATACTTGAAAAGCCTCATTAGCAAGAAACAAAACAGAAACACCCACATCCATTTTGCTTATCTTGTGTCATCAGTGACAGTTGGGAAAGACAAATACGCCTTCCCTTCTATTACTGCCGTCAGCGAAGCAGTAAAGCTTAAAGCGAAGGGGGGAAATGCAAATAAAACCCATGAACCTATGAAAGCTTTAACTACAGTTCCAGATGAACATGTATTCTGCAATGAATAATGCCAGGAAATACTTCATGTGGCATCCTATTTCCCCCCATGTCATCCAGTGACTCTTGAGTACTAAAATAACATTAGTTGTTTTATTACCATAGGAACTACTGTCATGTCCTTCTGCGTATCCTTTAAGGGGGGTTGGGGGGGTAGTATCTGTATTTTTTGTTTTGAACTGCAGATTCAAAATAACTGCGTTAGCACCATGAAAGTGTTCACAGCTGGAAGATTCCCTACAAGATTGTATGGATTCACTGATTTATAAATCCTGCATGAAGAGGTTTTGTTATAGCAATGGTGGGACACAGCTCACAGTCACAGCTTCTCTTCACTTAGATGCTTTTAGATGTTTTTGGCTATGATGTTGTTATATTTTTTATTGCTCTGATGTACAGTGGTACCTCAGGTTAAGTACTTAATTCGTTCCGGATGTCCGTACTTAACCTGAAACTGTTCTTAACCTGAAGCAGCACTTTAGCTAATGGGGCCTCCTGCTGCTGCCGTGCCGCCGGAGCCTGATTTCTGTTCTCATCCTGAAGCAAAGTTCTTAACCTGAAGCACTATTTCTGGGTTAGCGGAGTCTGTAACCTGAAGTGTATGTAACCTGAAGCGTATGTAACCTGAGATACCACTATATTTGCCATTCTGGGCTCCTCTGGGAAGAAGGTGGGATAGAAATTTAATTATAAATGAATAATCCATTCTATGCAGCCACTGACATAGAGGATTTTCCCAGTGATTTCTCCTCCAGGAAGTTCTTGGGTGAGGGACCCAGCAAGTCACTTGCCACAAAAAACACACAGCTACTTAGAACACTGTTTCCATTTGAGTCTGGTCACTCTCCCCGTCTTCCTTGCTTCCATATGTACCTTTTGGTAATATTTATACCTTACTCTCCAGTGAACATCTGTGGAGTGAAAGGTCTGTCATTCTGATGCTAAATAACTGCCATTTGATGTGGCCTGCCCTTGTTTCCCACTAGTACTGCAGAGTTTGGTGTACATCGCAATATCATGATGATATGATTTACTGCAAGAAGTGTGGAACCTAAAAGTTGCAATTTGTGCCAGCCCTTCCTCTTGGTTCCTCCTAAAGACCTCTTCAGACTTTTAATGTTTTTAGGTGCACACCTAAAAATGTATGGTATGAATTTGACCTGTTTGCCAGCAGAGGGCTAAAAGAGCTAGGATGGGCTGTGGTCAAATATACACAAGGTAACAAACCC